AAATACAGGCTATGAGGCATTCCTTCCTAATTATCAGTGGTGACAACGCTTTTGTTAGCCTTCTTCGTTTGAAGTTAGCTGCAGGTGCTCTGCAGTAGCCACTTACAACCAAGTAGGCTGTAAGTTCGTTTGCTTCTTCAGTTTTATAAAAAAAAAAAATAATTGGTCACACTCATCTTTTACGCCTGCCTCGAATTTTTTCTTCAACTTTGTGGTTGCGACAGCTTGAACAAACAAATTATAATAGCTAGAGGTTTTCCCGGAGTTAACGCCGCGCGAGTCGATTTATTCATATGCAAATTTGCTTAAAACCAGTTGTGGCTAAATTCGATTAATACGTTTTTATTTCTATTTATAAGACTACAGCCGAGGTGGAAGTTGTCCATTACAATGGATCGCATGACGAGTTTGCGAATTGTAATTAGAATAACTAGTCCCGACCGCGACTTTGTACGCGTGATCAATTCCATACATCGTTACAGCCTATAAAAGTCCTTTTCCGAACATAAGCCTTCCTCATAAATTGCTTTATAGAGGGGATTTTGCCATAGATAGATTTTTTTTAAATTTATTTATGTACATACAAATAGGTACAGAAATATCTTCCAGTAGATCCATAAAGGCTAATTTATTAAAATGGCTCACTTAGTACATACATTACTCTTACTAATGAATAAATAATATACAAAATGTTCCATAAATTATATTAAATAATACTATAAATAAAAATAAAATAATACAATATATAAAAATAATAAATACGATAGTTACATATAATATATATAAGCTAATACTAATGTAATAAATAATAAATAATAATTACCAGGATGCAGAGAAGTTAACTCGAGCACGTTTCTTAAATACTAATAAAGTTTCGGAATTTCTTAGATTAGTCGGTAGTGAGTTCTATAACCTTACCGCGTGAACAGAAAAGGAGTAGGAGTAAAAACCGGAATTATAGGCGGGAAAGTTAAGAAGAGTTTGTTGTTTCAGTTTAACTCTGTCACATCTTACGGGGCGTAAGGCAACTATTTGAGATTTCTCTACTAAAACAATATGAAGTAAAGTTACAGTGCAGAGAAATTCTACTGTTTTCCATAGGTCAACTCACATTTTTGAGAGGACTTTGGAGCATTAATTTTAACTGATTTTTTTAATGTGGACTAATAATTTAACGCTAATATTTTTACGTGGTAGAGCCATATTTAGTTAGAGCTATTTTATAGCAAGAATGGGTCAGCTCGACCGGGGCAGGATCACGCTCTCACAGAAACCAGCGTAAAATAGCAACGTAATGCTGCTGTGTTTGTGAATGTAGAGATCCGGAGACCCTTAGGGATTCTACCTTAGTACTCAGGGTTGACAACGTTCTGATTCTTAATCGAGGATAAATGAAGATGTGTATGGGCCACAGTATCCACTTACCATCGGGTGGACTGTATACTCGTTTGTCGCCCTTATTCTGTAAAAAAAAGTTAACGCTGGAATTGACCAGATGCCGCTAGGTGGGACTGAGGTGAAGTTTTTCGTTACACAATGTCATTTAAATAAGAACTTGCGTTTCAAATAAAAGTTTATTGGGTTCTAGATTATTTATAAATACATGAAACAATGCATCAGTAGTTTGCTTCCTAATATTTTCACATTTCTAACTAAGTTACGTGAGAGTAATATGGTAACCTTATGCTTCGTCTTATAAAACCATAACTAAGAAGAGGACAGACACAAAAACGTATACTATAACTAATATATTAAGTAAAAAATAGCAAAGTAGCCTTGGCAATAATTATTAACACTTTGAAAAATCTACTTAAAAACAAACTGACTACAGTACGCCATACTAAAATCTACTAAAATATTTACTATAATAACAACTGTAAAACGGCGTCGATAAAGCATCGCCCTTTTGACCCTTTATTATTTGATTGGCCGATGAAAAGCTATCGTATCACAGAGCCATTCAAACAAGGCTGTGATTTTTGAGTTATAAGAAAGTGACCATGTTAACCAGATGACCATTGACCATATTACGCTCACGTACAATTTTTTTTATTTTTCTCCTTTTGGGCACATATGTATTTTAGTTTATCCAACTTTAATCTAATTAATAAAAATAAGTGTATGTTTGTAATGTTAAAATAACAGCGTTTTACCAAATGCAAATGAAAGTATATACGATACTTACAACAAAAAAATAATTTTAAATTTTTAGTCTATCTGATTGTTTCGGCTTTTCTCCAAAATGGGTAGACGGATTTCTACGGGACTTTCACTGGCAGTTAGCTGATGTTATAAGGAGTAATTTCGTTTACTTTTATTTTAGAAATATAATTAGGCTTTCGTATAAAAAAATTAAAATCCATGAAATTCAATCGTAATAAATATATATAAAATCGAAAATAAGCTAGTATAAAATTAAAACTATATTTATTCTTTATAAAAACTATAATTATATTATATTTCTTTTTTTAATATTTTTTTTTCTGTAACGTTTATATTACAGAAAAAAAATTAACTAAATTTCCTCTTAAATTAACTTACCCGCCATGTCACCTATCGTCACGTCGAGTACTGGGGAGTACGTACGACGTCCTGATGTTCTAATTTAATGACATAGTACGTAGTACTATTATTTATTCTGTGGCCATAGTTAATGCATGACATCAATAAGCGCGATAAAATCCGTAAGACTAGTTTTAGTACCCGGTTGACCGAGCTTTGCTCGGTATTTTTCGCTCGGTTTTTTTTTATTCGTGTTTTGGAAATTATATTTAGATACAAATTACATACTGATGAAATACGAATAATATTTTTTGATCTTAGCGACATAATAGAAAAAACTGAACTGGTTATTTGAATAAAAAATCATGAGTGCAATTAGTTTAATTTAAATTTTTGTGTTTTTAAAAAATACTAAAAAAAAGGCACGAAAAAATAGATTTTCTTAAAAAAGAAAGGAACTTGAAAAAATAATTATAAAAAGTCAGTCGGTCGGTCTGGGCTCGAACCACGATATTACGACTTTGTGACCGCCTAATATACCAATTAAGCTATTTGTAAACATTAATAAACTGTCGAAATTTACCTTCTTATTCTAACGATGTTGTAGCATTTTTTCATTGCCTAAAAACACGGATAAAAAGACTTTTCTAAAAATAAATCCTCGCTAGATCGATTTATTGCCCCCGAAACTCCCTGCACACAAAATTTTATGAAAATCGTTGGAGCCGTTTCCGAGATTCCGATTATATATATATATATATATATATATATATATATATATATATATATATATATATATATATATATATATATATATATATATATATATATATATATACACAAGAATTGCTCGTTTAAAGGTATATGATTCAGACAGTGAATAATCTATTAGATGATATATCATTCTAAATTTAAAGAAAATTTAAATTTAGAATTCCCATTTGTCAATAACCGTTAAGTCGGCCATATTTATTTGAATCTTTTGGAGTTTATTCTCTGGTATGTGATTTCGCGCCGCATACTAAAGCTCAATTCACGTGTATACGTTAACGAAACAACAAATTTAGCAACACTTTTTATGTTGATTCGTAACATTACATCAATCATTATCTTCATCTTTGTTAAAAAAAAACGTTACCCTACGGTTTTGCCATGTATCGTGGAGGAAATTCACATAGGTAAATAAATTTCACAAGTACAAACATCCGGACCTAGAACAATTGTTTGTAGGAAATACAATTTCTTCCTTCGCGCGGGATCCGAACCTGCGGCCTTCAGAGCCATAAACATTAAGAATATAAATATAATGGGAGTTGGTTTCTTTTTCGAATTCACTTCCTCATCAGCTCGTAGGAATTCAAACGCTGTTCTGTAATATGAAAAAACTGTAATAAAAAAAACTAAAAACTGTAATTATCATACAGTCCTCTCCGTGTTATCACACCAAGAACTCTGGCTGCATTTCCTCTCTGAATGGCTATACTTAACCTTTGAGTGAGAGATACTTGACATTGAATAAAACTATTGTTATGGATTTTAACACGTTTAATTTTACTTACTTTTAACTCAATGTGTAGTGTTCGCGTAAAATATAAGAAATCATTAGATTAAACTCTAAACTACAATTTACCTACCGTTGGTTGACTGCTTAAACTTTCAGCAACAAACTAGCAGTTTAAGGGGATATAGTAAGTCAGCTCAAATTCTAATTTCGCCCCCACTTCCCCGCGCGTCGTATGCTATGTACCGACATGTTTGTAATCACTAATACTGTAAGTAGATAGGTGGTTAGATACTTATTTCATTAGGTTTATCATATTTGTGCCTGTTTTTTAACGCCAACCCAGTCGCCTCTTATTTTTATCATGGTTATTTCCCATTTTAATTTTACGTCGTCCTGTTACGTAATGTGTATTCTGATCGTAAGCGACACAACTTCTCCCTTCAAAAGCCGAAGCGATACTAACGGGGCGACAGGAATCAAGCTTCAAGACGCCGATAGTTTAGGTAATTTCTTTTTACAGTGCAAAAAATGGTATTTAAAAAAAGTAAATAACATAAGCACTGCTTTATAGTTAGTTTAGTTAGTATGCAAAGTTTCATGATCTTATTTAAAGTATTTTATGAATAACAGCGGTTTATTATTCAGTTTGGAGGTAACTTTGGATTTTTTTTCTATCGAGTAAATTTTACGGAATCGCGTTTTCGTCTAACATAGTCCTTAACATTAATCCTCAACTTTACCATATATTTATTTCAAAATTAATGTTGCAATGCTTTCGGCATAACGGAGGATCTTGCTAAGCCATTTGAGGTTATATTTCCCCTTAAACACCCAGTAAAAGTGGATCTTTTACTCATCAAGGAGATTATGAAATAATCTGTAAAAATTGTTACTGAATTATGGATGTTGCTATTGATATTATGAGCATAAGATAATACTGGAATGGATAAGTAATGGGGTTTCTTTAATTATGTTTTTTTTTCTTTCTTTGCAGCTCATCTATCTGGCAGCCTCATGCACAGCATCAACGTGTCTCTAATCGAGCCCACACAGTGCGAGGCTAAGATCCAGCAGAACTACCCTCACCTTCTGGACAACTACGACCAGGAGAGCTGCATCTGTGGAGAGCCTTCTAACCCTCTTAACAACATTTGCAGGGTATGTATATTTACGTAATTCTTCTTCTGCAGTCTGTAAAAGCCCAAAGCCCATTGTTGGACGTGACTCTCTTCCGTTATAGAAGAATAATTCCTTCGTATAACTCTTCGGTGGTAGAACTTCTGTTCTGCATAGAAGTTCGTCTGAGGGGGCATCACCCCCGGAGGTATTTTTCTGCCAAATGGCATTGCCTGCAATGTGTTCAGGTCTGAAGGGTATAGAGAGTCAATATAGTTACAGAATGAGGCGAATTACCATCTCATGTATCAGTGGTGACAAAGCATCCGTAGACTTTTGTGTTTGAAGTTTGTTCTGGTGTCCATGGGACGCAGTGGCCACTTACCATCGGGTGAACTCTAAGTTCCTCTGTCACGTCAGTAAGTGTTACTCTTTTGTTATAGATTAAGGGTGATATACGAGCACACAGTCCACCTGATGGTGTGGATGCTGATACCCATAGACATTCACATTTATCCTCGATTAAGAAATCAAAACGCAGATGCGTTGCCACCCCTGAGGCTTTTATGAGTTTCTAACGTGGTAGAGCCACGCCATCATATTTCGGTTGTAGCATGAATGGGTCGGCTCGACCGGGGTAGGACCACGCTCTCACAGAATACCAACGTGAAATAGCAGCTTAATTTTGCTGTTTCGTATAGTGTGTAAAGAATCGGAGACCGTTTTTACACGAAACGAGGCATTCCATATTAGTATTCAGGGGTGACAACGTATTTGCATCTTCAGTCCACCATCAGGTGGACTGCGTTCTCATTTGTCACCCTTATTCTATAAAAAAAATACGACAAGTTTTGATTTTAATTTTAGAGTAACTTTCTGTGCTTGCTTTCCTGCCATCTTGTTTGCCATGCGATTTCCAATGATAGTGGTCTTCCCTTGTAACATTAAACGCACTCTTATGCGTTTCATATAATCTATGTAATGTTTTCAGGTTGACATTGGAAGTGCTCTTGCTTGCACAACCGGCGATGGTTACTTCGTCCTACAGGGAGTCTACTCTTGGGATTCAGGTAAGGATATACATACATATTTACACAGCTACGGACGACAAATAACAGAACTATATTGAATGTTTCATTTTATATTAAAGAAAATTCTTTAGAACACAAAAATAGAACTACAGTATTTATCTTTGAAGTTACGGAGTGGTTTTGCCATAAATTATAGTTTGTTGTTTGGTAATCTCTCTCTATCTCGCTCTATTTCCCTTTCTCTTTAGTTTTGTAGCTTTAGGTAAAATTATTAAAAAAATAAAAGTTGGAATGCACAAACTACTTTCAAATAAAATAAAACCAATATAAAAATACTCATTTTATTTGTTTACAGGCTGTCAGACCGGCAACCAGCTAGCCGCTTTCTACAAATTCGACATTGAGTGGTACGAATGGGCCATCGGTCTAACTGAGAGCGTTCGTTTCACTCAGTTTGTTCGTGGTACCAAGATCACTCAGACTCGCTACACTGGACAAGTCACATCTGGTACCAAAGGCATCCAGTACACGGGCGGAATCAAGGGAACCATTGCTGGAGGATTCAATAAGTTTGGCGGACAAGGCCAGTTCACACAGTTTGGTGCTGGCGGACAAGGGCAGCTTACACAGTTCGGTGCTGGACAATTTAGCCAAGGTCAAGGGCAAAGTGGATCGAACCAAGGATCTGGTAACCTTTACGGACAGAATCAGTACAGTTCAAGCAATTACAGCCAATTCAGTACATCAAGCAACCAGCAATATTCGGGATCTCAGAACCAATTCACCTCTGGAAACTTTGGTGGAAGCACAACAGACTATAATTCAGGCAGCTCAATCTTTGGCACTAACAATAATGGACCATCATCAAACTCGTTTACATCCACTTATACCGAGAAGAAGTTTTTCCAAACTGAGCCAAAATACTACACCTTCACCACCAAGCCAGAAATCGTAACTTACACAACCAAGCCAGAAATCGTTACGTTTACAACAAAGCCGGAAATATTCACTTACACCACAAAGCCCAAAATCATCACATACACAACCAAGCCAAAAATTATAACCTACACAACCAAGCCGAAAATTATAACTTACACTACTAAACCACAGTTTATAACCTACGAAACGTCTGGCAGCGGTACAAACCCGCAATATGTCGCGCCAGGCGCTTCCTTCAACCCCACATTTTCAGAAATTGTCGGTGCAGAACACAAGCACAGTGCCCAATGCAAGTGCCTAGAGAAAGGCAAAAAGTAAAACGATCGAACAAAACCATTTTTAAAAATATTGGTAACATAACGGACTTCACGTGCCATAAACGAAAAAAATCATTTCGCTTCACAATTCACACTTCGACATTTATATACAGTACAAAATTAACTCCAGTTCCTAAAAAATGTTACCATTACCATATTATTATTAATTTCTGGTCATAACATTTGGAAACCGCGAGTTTTAAAATGTAACTTCATTTTTGTATTTCTATTTATAAAATATTGAATTGTGTAAATAGGTAGGATTTATTTAATTCGTACAATTTTATTATTTCCTTATAATATATAATTATTAGTGTATTTTTACAGTTAACAGTCGTTTGTAAAGTGACTTTAAATTCGTACTGCCAGTTCTTTTATCTGTGTATTACGCTATATACATATATTATAAGTACTGTGTTATAAAACGTATAGATATTTTTATTCGTAATATTAATGTAATAAAAAGAAAGTATTTTTCGAGATTTGAATAAAATTAGACTTTTGACCATATTGGAAATATTTTCGCACCAACATGGTCGACTCTCTAATAAAATTGGTTGTAATAGTTTTAAAAATATGAAAATAAGATCTTTTTATACAAAAAATACCATTCATGAAATATAAAATAAGTATTTAGGCAATATGATGAATATTGATGTAAATTCTAATTGTTGTAATTAAGATTGAACAATGGAAATAAAATGGAGGTATTTTACAATTATCAGCCTTTAATTACATCTTTGCCAAGCAAAAGCTATAATATTAGCAACTACTCTTAGCAGAAAACTAGATAATTTTTCTAAATATTTCAAAAGATTTTGACAAGGACTCTATCCCTTTACTGTCAAAAAAGCTTGAAGACATCGCTAAAAGAGGCACACATAAACATAAACACTCACGCCTGTCATCCAGAGGGGTAAGCAGAGACTACAGACTTCCATTTAGCACGATCCTGACATACCTCTCGCGCTTCCTCCACATCCATATACCTACGCATACATGCTAGTCGGTTAAGGGTACTCTTAATTTGACCCATTTTTAAAATAGGGCCTAGGGCGTCCTTTTCCGACTCTTCCACTCACTTCAGTCAGTCCCTCCTTTTTCATTCTTTCTAGATGACCAAATCACCGAAGCATTCCTTCCTTCATCCTGGTCACAGCATTTCTACTGAATTTATTCTACTCACGTGCTTCTTCTGCCACGCCAAATTTTCACTACCATACGTTAAAGTAGGGACTAATACAGCATTGTGAATTGCGATACGTGCCTTTTTTGACACATTCTAACTTTTCACAATAGAGTGTCCTTATTATATATCCTTATTATATATCCCACTCCTGCTGAATACATAAAAGTCCATAAAAAGATTGAACAGCCACACGGAAGCCACACAGCCCTGTCTGACACCTTTATGGATGCCAAACCAGTCTGAGTAGGCCCGTTGGTCCTAACAAAATCATTCTAGTCTCACTGTTCTGCGTGGAGGGCTGTTCCCAGTTGTGGGTGTATGTAAGCTATAACTTTACTTTTAAACCATGTTGTGGTGGGGTAAAAAATTCATCACTCGGTTTGATCGCGTAGGTGTAGCAAGATGAAACAATAGAAAATGCTATAGTATGTGCCAAATCGATTAAGAAAAACAGACAATGACCTCAGATATGAGCCGAGTGTCAAAAGGCGTAACTTACAAAAATCTCAATTTAGATGTGATAACAATATTTAAATATTGATATAATTCACACTTCTAGGTCAGCACATATTGTTTGTTTTTTGTTTCTTAAATAATATTGTCTGTAGTTCCTATAAAAATCGTAAAATATTACGGTACATCGCGAAAAATGTGTTATATTTTATATTTCAGTTTATGGTAAGTAACGCAGTAATTCATTTAATAACAGTTTCATATTAAAAAAAAAATATTTCGAGCAATATAAACACCATATTGAGCTTTTGCAAATTTATCCCTTTAAAATAAACAAAACGCGCGTTACTTCAGTTAGTTCTACAAGAAACGTGATAATGGCAGCCAGAGATGCGTCACCTTTTTTGGGCCGGTCCTCATGCACCGAATAAAAATAAAGTTCTTATATAATATTGAAATTAAAGTTTTATCTTTTAAATAAGTACGTACTTATTCAGTGTCGTTATCACTCGAACCACACATCACCATCACATGTAGCATTAGCCGCTCCCCAGGCTGACTCTTGCCCTGGCTGGGTTTGCCCTTTCCTTCCTCGACCAAAAAGCTTTAACGGTTTTAAACAAATTAAGGTAATAAAAAAATTATAGAAATTTTATGCTCGTGCAGGCTTAGATGATATATTCTGCTGACTATAGGCGGGCGGATTGACAATCCTTTTCCGACTCCCGTCACCAATCTGTTTATTTCAAGGTGTTTACGAGATGGTTAACCTCTCGTATACAAATTGAAATAAATAGACTGAACTTCTTCCAGTAGCTATGAGATCTCTCTATAGTGTGTGCCAAATCAATTGAGAAAAACGGACAACCTATCGGTCGTTTAACCAGGGGCTACAAACCTTCAATATATAAGCACATATTATTTTTTTTAATTATTTTTTATAATAATTGATATAATGTATATTTATTAACAATTATTAAAAAGTTATGTAAAAGATCGCTGTAGAAGAAAAATCATCTATTGTTATAAAGTACTTTATTCATTTAATAACAAAAAGCATTAATTTATAACACATATGGTAGAACGGAGCTGTTCAATATAAACCGAAGTTCCAAAGCTTCAATAATGTGATTTAAACTTTGGTTCGTTTCGCTAATGACAGCTGTTCGCCACGCCGGTCCAATTGTCGACTAAAATGCAAGTACCAATTGTTTTCCTGTAGCGTGCGGTGAGTCGAGATGGTGATTTTTTGTGTAAGTGCCGTGAAGCAGAAGCAAGGGGTGAAGTTTAGAACTTGAAGGAGCACGAAATGTTATGCAAATGTTACAATGAACCTTGTAAAAAAACTAAGTTGATTTTCAGTAAACAAAGGCTGCAGACAATGATTGCTCGGGAACGAATAGAAGTGGTTCTTGAAGACAATGACGAAAGCTTTTAAGTTCAGGTTGCATTATTTATATCACATGGAGTCACCAATTTGGCCATGAAAAGGAAAGAACTCCTTCTGTTCTATATACATTAAAGTAGTTTCAAATCGTCGTGACTTTATTTGTAAGCAGTTGTGGCAACGACTACGCCCCCATAACTACTTAAAAATAAACGCAATGACATATTGCGTACTTTATCAGGATGGTTACAACCAGTAATTCAAATTTGGTAGATCACAAATCCTCGCAAAAAGATATCGCTTCGCGAGACTATTGAAATTATAGAGCACCCTAATTTCAATAGAGACGATGGGTGGGTACTACCATCTGCTTGGGATACCATAATTAATAAAATTAAATCCAAATTCTATCATACTACTACATAAAGGTAGTGTGCAATAAAGAAAAAAATCCTTAAAATAAAAATGCAAGATAGAAAAGGATAGTAAATCTTATAACTCTGTAACCGATTTTGAATTGTCAGATCGGCACAAGTCGACACGCAGGAAATAAGTTCTAAGATATTTTGCAATTTTTTAGAGTATTATAGTGATTCATTTTTGTAATTAATTGATTTTCAAAATGGTTACATGATCTGTCTGTAATCCTGATAGTTGCACAATTCACAGCTATATTCGCAAGACGTCGTTACTGCTATGACTCGTTTATTTATGGTTAAAATTTGTGGTATATTCTGTTTTAAAATATAGAATATATTCAATTATATTATTAATTTTGATATTTGGCAAAGTAAAAAGTCTCATTGTTGATAATTTATATTTGGTGAATTCATTTTTAAACAAAAACATATTTTACATGTACGCTAGGGATTAACTCAACAATATCAAAATTAATGTCGATAGTTATCTTGAATGTTTATAAAGACTCGATACACTTGTCCACACAACAAAAAGAGGAATGAAATTAAATGCACGACTTACGCTCTAAAAACGTAGCATCAATTTGCCGTTTGTCAAAGAGAATCCGTTAATAAAAAAATCTTGAAATTATCCTATTTAAGCTACTACGAATCCAAATATTAGCTATCTATTTATCAAACAAAAACAACCTTACTTCACCACCCGTACCTCATGGTCATACTAGTTTAATATTCATAGCATCACGTAATTTTCCCTAAGGGATTGCGCGGAGCTTCAAATGATACTTTCAAGACACAATGATAAAACTTTTAGCATAGTTGGGTATAGATAACGCTCTTGAAGCGCCGCTAGACAGTTCAGTGTGCCAGGACAGTATAAATTTCATAGTAATTAATACTCACAACGCTCGATGCCAGATTTATGCTTGATGCCCGATGGCAGTGTGCCGAGGGCTTGATAGCGTGGTTCATAGCTTACAGAGTTGGTCGTAGAGAAGAGAAACGTGTGGTTAATGAACAGTTGCGCGGATCAATAGATCTGAAAGATTAACTTGCACTTGTCGCAATCAGTCCATGAATGGGTGACCGTTTTCTTAACACACCGAAATTGAGAGATTAGAGCGTGCATCTGTATTTTCAGACTCTTGGTGCACTTTAATATCCCAGCGTATTTGGCTAGTCTCTGTTAAGATCTTTATGTTTTTTTTTAAATATAGACGTGTTATGGAGTTGAGACCGCGTCTAGGCAAACGTAGTGTGGGGCGCCCCCTTACTAGATGGAGCAACGATCTGCGCAAGGTGGCTGGTGGAAACTGGATATGTGTAGCCGAAGATCGGGCTAAGTGGCGCGCCTTGGGAGAGGGCTATGTCCAGCAGTGGACTGCCGCAGACTGATGACGATTCTGTGAGAGCGTGTATTAATTTTTACATGGTAGAGGCATGCTGCAGCTTTATTGTGGATATAAGCACGAATAGGTAGGCTCGACCGGGGAAGGACTGCGCTCTCACAGAATACCAGCGTAAAATAGTAGCTTAATGCTGCTGTCTTTCGT